AAAAACAAAAAACAAAAAACAAAATAAAAAATGGTTGGTATTACTCATCACATGCCATGAGCTGAATGGTGGACATTCAATTACTAAATTATAAGACGTATTAAGAAAACATTAAAAAGAGTAGTTGCAAGAGACCGTAAAGGTGACTGTTGTATGTAGATGTTTTCCGAAAGCAAAAGCAGCGTTGACTTTTGAAATTCTAAATTATATTAGTAAAAGAACAGATTTTCTTTTTTAAGATTTTTATTTTTTTTCTCTTTGAATGAAAAATAAGGGGATGAGCGACCAGACATGAACAAGGAAATTCGCGAATAAAGGAAAATTTTTTTTTTTTTTTTTTTGACGTGAATAAAGAAGCCTCCAACATCGTGAAATTTTTGCATAGATCACCATAATTAGGGAATGAAGCACGTCAATGGTCTCAAATAAGGCTTAATTTGAAAATGGTCTCAAGCACTTTCATTATATAAGACCCCAACATGAAACCTCTTATATGATGTTAGAGATACTATAAATGGTTCCTGATCAATTTTTCTATCAATGTCTCTTTAGTCTACTTTTAAAACATCCCAAACCTAATTCTTATCTATCAGTTTATTTTAAATTTTAGATCTTCTCATGAGTTGGGTATTAAAAAGAGGATTAAATCTGAAAAATTTTAAGTTAATATAGTGATATTTTATGTTTTTTGCGTCGTGCATATTTTGTGTTCTATTGACAGATCATGCTATTTGTTTTTAGAATTGTGTGCATATTTCATTCTCTTTTCAACACCCAGCTACTGAAAAAAGACAAAAACTAAAATAAACTGATAAGTCTAGGTTAAGTTTGAGATATTTTAAAAGTTAGGGACAAAAGTACGATTAAAAATAAAATTTAAGAATAATTTATGAGATTAAGCAACCAAATTGTTCAAGATAAACCCAATGTGATTAGGCTATTATCTTAGTGGTCTACAATTAATCAAGGACAAGGGCCATTGATTCCTTACAAATCTTTGAACTTGTTTTGGTTTTGAAAATGATTTTTTATGTGAAAGCGTGTATCTAGCAGATCATGTATAACAAAAATTTTAATAAATTTTTGAGATACTCTATAGAATACATTAATTTATGTACGAATAAATTAATCAAATTAATTTATGAATAAATTTACCTAGCGAACGATTATGTTAATAACTTGAGTTATTTGAATAGGAACGTTCATCGCTCCAAGCTTGTTTAGAATACGTAAACTTTTCTCGTCAATTCTATGAATCTACGAATACGTGTGTGTGGGCACACTTAAAACAAAACGAGATTAGCACTCAAACACTCAAGTTTTTTACGAACACCAACACATGCACGACGTGAAATTGGAGAGAAAATTTTCCTTTTCCGCACTCTATAAAATTGGCCACTATAAGCTAGGGAGAGTAAAAATTGTGTTCTCTAATTTTCTACAGTATCCTATTTCTAGAGTTCCTGTCAGACTCCCAGCAGGAGTCTAAACTTTATTTCTAAGATAAAGCTTGATAATTATTTCTCATTCCTATTTTATTTTGGAAACAAAATCCCCTCTATCTTATCTACTGGGGCGACCAGCACAAAAAAATATCCCTTGTGGTTGGCGCAAATTACAGATAGGGAAGGAGAAAAAAATATCATTAATCATGCAGTCCAATTTTAACTCAAATTCAAATTCTAATTAAAGTTAAACTTAATTTAATTTGAATTTCAATTGGACAACTTATCAAATAAGTCAATTGGATAACTTAGAGAGCAAACAACTGAATCTCATAAGGATTCCCACAGTGCTGGGCGTGTACACCATGTGGACCTCTCAACATGTGTTCTAAAATTCAAATTTAAATAATTACATTTGTAATTAATTATTCTTGAGCATTCTATTTAAAATTCCATAATTCTAAAATTTTCATGTAGGATTAATAGTTAATTAAAACTCTTTAATTAATTAATTCTATTAATTCTAAAAGTTACTCCACTATGAACTTAGAATTGCACTCTTGTAATTATATTTATAATTTACTTCTAAACTGTGAAGTGTTCATTTGATATAGCCATTACATATAGATCAATCATCCATTAATAATTCATAATTAGAGTTAGGTGAAATCCTTTAACTTCTCTAATTACATATTTATCCTTGAGTACCATTGATTCTCTAATGAACATTGATTCATAAAACAAATTCATGAATTGGAGCTCCTACTAGTCTATATACCAAATCAATTCTCAAGAGAATTATTTATCTACTTCTTTCTCAAGAATGAATGGATTCCATCTTGAATGGATTCCATCGTGTCTCTAAAATACAAGGAATAAGATTCACCATATCAGAATCTGTACCGAGTAAATCAAAAGATATAAATCCATAAATAGGAGTATGCTAATAACTCAGGATTAAGATCGTTCCATATATGACAATCGGTAGACTCAATTAGAATTTCTATACTTAACAGAAATTATCAGAAATTCATATTGTGTATGTGTCCCGATTCCACACAATCTTATTATGCGCAATACACTCATTCAATATCTCATCATATTAACAGTGCGGATCACCATTCCATTCTAAATGGGAATAATATGTATTAGTAATGTTTTAATTAAGGATTTTAAATTTTAATTAAATTCATTACGAACATCGTTTTAACTATTATCTTTAAATACTATCATCTCACGTATAACATTTATATATAATATTTAAAGTAACATAAATAATTTAAAATTTTCAATCATATTTATAAAATATTCAATAATATATACATATAAAATAATAAATAAACTCTTTTATTAAATAAATAATAAATATTATATTATATCTCATATATTTAGAATACTATTATTAATACTCGTCAAGATTGGGTCAAGACAAACGAACCACACCGGAGCCCGACTTTTTGGTGCGTCCTGACTCGGGCTGGGATGAGCTCAACCAAACCTTTGTGCTGGTCCGAAGACGTAGGCATGAACAGACATGATATTAAGCTCCGCACGGGAGCAACTCCGCACAACTCATCCCTCGTGGCAAATAAACCACTATTCTCTTTCCAGTAATCCCATTTTTTGTTGAAAGGCTACAATTAAATTCTGTATACGTGGCACTCTCTAAAAGATGCGGAGTTGTGCGATGCTTTCCAAACAAGATGACGAATAGCAGTTCTCATGCTTGAAATTGTAGTACATAAATTACTGGTCAGACTAAGCTTATGCAGGACTCCAGGCCTGGTTGGGCCAGCCATTAGAAAATTGACGAACATAAATGAGTTTAAATTTTTATTTTTTATTAATATAATTATTTGATTAAAAATATTTGAATTAAAAACAAATAATTAAAAACAAAACTCAAAGTATTTATTTATTTTCACGGGAGAAAGAGAAAAATAGATCAAGACTTGAGATGAATTAAAATTAATAGACTAATAGTTTACATAAGTTAATAAATAGGCCAAATTACTATTTTCGTCAATAATTTGTCTGGTTATGAACCATAACTTGACAAGTTATTGTCCATAATTCACGATTTTTGTTCATAACTCGTCTAGTTATGAACCATAACTTGACAAGTTTATTTATAATTTATCTGGTTATGAACCATAACTTGACAAGTTTATTTATAATTTATCTGGTTATGAACCATAACTTAACAAGTTTATTTATAATTTATCTGGTTATGAACCATAACTTGATAAGTTATGACCTATTAATTTTTATAATTAAAAATTAGCATATATACTTTCTTAAACTTTTTATATTGACATATTTTTTACTATTTTTCTATTTTCATCCGAGCCAATGCTCACAGCTTGAGACGGCCTGCTTTCTATTTCGGCCCGATACAGCTTGGGCGACTAGCATTTACACCACTATTGAATCTTAGGAGAATAGCTGTGCAATAAAATCTTATAATAATTTATTGGAAAATTTGTGATAAGTGTATACTGGTAAAGCATAATTTTAAACCGACAATCTCTTATTAAATTGTTAATGTTTTAATCTGATATGATTTCAAAGATGATTTTATGATTTAAAATAGTACCATACAATCTACATATAATTTATTATTTTTTATTTATAAAATTAAGCTACGAGATTATGACCTCATTTAGTTCGTCAATTCGAGTTTTTAATTCGAGTTGAGATATGACTTTATGTAAGAATTTTTAACTGTAGTTAAAAAAAAGTTAAATGTGACTTTTTATGAGAGTTTTTAACTGTAATAAAATTAAAATTAAAAATTTAAATCAGTAAAATTAACGAGGATTATAGTTGCCAATACCATAGCAATCCTTTTCCACCAGCTTTCTTAATAGGTAAGTTTTCTTGAGCAAGCTTAGAAACTTTTTTTTTTTTTTTAGGGAAGCAAAGCTCAGAAATTTGGGAGAAAACTATAGCCATAAAGAAATGCCATTAAAAAAAGAAAATAAAAAAGATAGAAAGTCAAATGGAAATATTGAAAACTAACATTGATTAAATTACCAAATAGCCAAAGATTACATGTGCTCAGGCCAGCTCAACACAACTTGAGGCCTCAAGCACAGTTCTTTTTAAATCGGCCTATTTTAAAATGATGGTTATTGTCGATTACGTAACCTATTAATTAATCCACGCTTAGCCGCCACTCCAATTTTATATTATCGTCTAAAATGTAGAATTGTAAACCATAATTTTTACCAGAAGGATTATTGTTTTACGAAGAGTAGTCCACATAGAAAGTCGAGAGGTGTGACTTTTGTTTTGTGAACTTTTTTATCACAGTAAATTACGAAAACTTATTTTTGTACATCGAGATATCACATCATTATGTTCATGTGGTATACCTTTAGATCATTTTTTATGCTGACTTTATTTACTCATTTTTCTCTCTCTTAAATACTCTTCTCTAATTGTTTAATTATTATCTCATAAATGATTTTCCCTTAAAAAAAATCTCATAAGTGCTACAATATCTAAATCTTCTCTATTAATTAAAATTTAAGTCCATTTAGGAAACTTGGAGGGAAAAAAATGGTTAAAATACTAATGACTTATTATATAAAACAACTAAAAAATTATTATTTGAAATACGTACTGATCGTGATAGATGTAGACAAGGAAAGAAATCGAACACAATAGCTTAAAGTTTTATATCTTGTATTCCAATGGAAATTTTATATGTAATGTTAATGTAGACATTAAAAAAAGATATATTATAGTTTTAATATTTATATTTCTTTTCAAAGGATATGATTAGCTTTTCCATGATTTTATTAATAAATGAAGATGTTGATTAGATTTCAATACATATGGGCATATTGATCCTTTTATTGGATATGTGAGGCTTAATAGATATATACAAAGTTGACATCGGCATTGCAATATGACCTGTTTTCTTCCCTTTTTTATTGGAAAAAAAAAAAGAGTATCGATTGTTCCTTGCAATATGACCTGTTTTCTTCCTTGGATTATGAGTGAAATCCATCTGGCAAGAAGTGTTGATTATTTTCTTAAAAAGAGTTGAGTGTTCAACAATATTATTGCATATAAAACTGTTAAATATAATGAATAAGTCGCTGGCAAAAGAGAGTTCAGCATGCCTAAGACCTCTTGATTTAGTGGTACTCATATATGGATAGGATGAGATTTAGGTGGAGTTTGCTGGTTTAATCCCGTGTTGTATTAAAAAAAAGAAAATACAGTATTTATTTATAATAATCTAATAATCTAATAATCTAACAATACATAAAAAAGTCAAAACTCTTCCTACAATACTTCTCTAGAAGTGCCACGTGGCAAGTCCTCCTTATCTCTCTTTTTTTTTCTTTATTTTTTCCTTCTTCACCTTTTTATCTTCATTTTTTTTAATCTTTTACGTGTTTTTGCTTTTTTTTTTCTTTTGCAAATGTTTTTTTTACTATTTAATTTTTGTGTATGCTCTTTAAGAATAATTTTTTTTTTCCATTTTACTCTTATAAAAGTAATTTTTTACAGTTAAATTTTTACATGTGTTTTTCTTTAAAAAGAAAACATAGGTTTTTTTCTTGACTTTATTCCTACGAATGTAATTTCTTTCGCATATGTTTCTACTTAAACTTTTTTTTGCCAATGGTTAAAATGCTTTTCTTTAAATTTGTCTCCGCTTAATTATTTTTCGTGTAATTTCTATCATATTAAAAATTATCTTTACACATATTTTTTTCTACAATGCTGTCACTAAGCACCTTTTTTTTCCTTTTTCTTTTTTGCATATAACAATCTAACAGTACACAAAAGAGCCAAGGCTCTTCCTACAATATTCTTATCTAAAAGTACTACGTGGCAAGCCCTCCTTCTCCCTCCCTTTTTCTTTATTTTTTTCCCTTCTTCACCTTTTTGTCTTCATTTATTTTAGTCTTTTACGTGTTTTTGCGTTTTATTTTTCTTTTGTGGATGTTTTTTTACTGTTTAATTTTTGTGTCTGTTTTTTAAGAATAAATTATTTTCCACTTTACTCTTATAAAAGTAATTTCTTACGGTTTAATATTTTACATGTGTTTTTCTTAAAAAAAATGGATTTTTATTAACTTTACTCTTACAAAAGTAATTTCTTTCGTATCTATTTCTATTTAAACTTTTTTTGTCAACAGTTAAAATACTTTTCTCAAATATGTCTCTACTTAATTGTTTTTCATGTAATTTCTATCATATTAAAGGTTATCTTTATACTTATTTTTTTCTACAATGCTTTCACAAAGCACGTTTTTTTTCTTTTTTACTTTTTGCATCTTTATTCGTAATTTTTTTAAATGTTTTGTTATTTTATTCTTTTTTTTTTTACTTTATGGATGTTACGGTTTAACTTTTTTTACGTATTTTTTGCTCTTTTCTAAGTGTATTTCTTTTTTAGGTTTTCTTTTTATTTTGCCGATGGATCTTTTATAATTTATTCTTTTAATGATCATCTATACATTCAATCTAACATCCAACATATATAAAAGCAGTCAAGTGGACTTGACTCTTAAGGAGGCCATGTGTTTGCTTCCTCGTTCTTCTTCTTTTTAGGGTAATTTGCACAATTAATCTCTAACATTTTTAAGAAGTGACAGTTTAATCCTTAACTTTTTTTTTAACAAAACGATCTCTAACCTCTTTAAAAGGTGATAGTTTAATTATTTTTATTAAATTTCGTTAAATTTTTAACCGAACACGTCACGTGACCCTTTTTTTTTTAATAAAATGACTTAAATACTCTCGTAACAAAAATACCGGAATGCACCTTGCCGGAATAGTGATAGATAAACAAATTACAAAAAAACAAACCCTCGCTTCTCTCTCTCTCTCTCTCCCCCGTTATCTCTTCATTTCCCTCAACCTCTCTCTCACCTCTCACCTTCTCTATCTCTCTCTGTTAATGTCGGTCGAACTCCATCACAAACGCCGACCATGTCGATCTCAAGCTGTTGCCAATGAAGATCGCGAGTTGCAGTGGCAAAGTCGCCGGAATGCACACAAAGTTGTCGAAACTCGAGCTCCTCACATAAAGTTGTCGGAGGGGAACCGGAGCACAACGAATCTCCCCCAACGCCGGCGCTAACCGCGCAAATCTTCCCACCGACGGGCCTCTCACCTCCCACACTGCCAAGCTTGAGAGATGAGAGATGTTTTTGTTTCGTAGGTCATGGATCTGGTTTGCGAAGGAGAGAGAATCGAGGGAAGAGATAGGTCCGGGGGATTACGGAGGAGAGAGAGAGAGTGGCCAGGGGTCGCGGAGGATAGAGAGTCATGGAGGAGAGAGAGAATCGCGGAGGAGAGAGATTTTCACGTGGGGAAGAAGAGAGAGAGGGATGTCGCCAGAGATAGAGAGTCACCGGAGATAGGGATGTTGCCGGGATGACTTCTTTAGATCTTTTTTAGATTTTTTATTTTGATTTTTGTTGAAAAATAAATTATTCAGTTTACTAAAATACCCTTTATTATGAGATCATGTGTAGTGCACATGACTTGCACTGTCAAAAATTTAATATAAATAACCAGATTGCACCTTTTTAAAGAGGTTGGGGATCGTTTTGTCAAAAAAAAAAGTTAGGGATCAAACTGTCACCTTTTAAAAAAGTTGGGGATCATTTGTGCAAATTACCCTTCTTTTTATTTAATGGCATGTTTACTTACCAAGAGTGAGGAATGAGAATTGAGAATCAGAATCAACCTCATGTTTACTTACCCATTTTTATCTTGGAAAGGGAGTGAGAATGTGTGGGTCTCACAACAATTTAGGATTGAGGAATGGAATTGGCACTCCCCCACCCCCGCTGGATTGGCACTCCCAATCCTGATAGTAAATATGAATTACGATTTTACCCTTAATTCTACTAACAAATTAGATGGTCTTATTGATATGCTTTCCACGGCTGACAAGGATCTAGCTGGATTACAAGCCAACTTGTATCAAGAAATGATAAAAATTGATGGCTTAGATGATGATCAAGTATATGATGCCACTAATATTTTGGCAACGAAGCATGATTTGTCACGTGTATTCTACAACATTTCAGATCAACTCAAGAAGGGATACATCCTTAAAATTCTTAGTCGTGGGGTTTAAGTGTTCTTATTTTATCATTATTATATATTTTTTTCTTTAAATTATTTCAAAATTTATTGAGAAAAAATAATTTAGATGATTAATTAGGTGTGATCAAAAAAATCTAATTACTAATTAGTTATCTTAATATTAAGATAGTTAGCATAATATACAATTTCTTTATATTTTTTAAGTTCAACACACAAAAATCTACTAAAAGGGTAGGTAAGTAAATTTATAACAGTTTATTCCACTTCTGGGTGTAAGTAAACGCATGGATGTGATTGAGACTGATTTTGACTCCGAATCCTGGGAACCTAAGTAAATAGCTTACTCTGATTCCTGTTCACTCCGAATCATGTCTACTCCAATTCATGTTCACTCCGATTACAGATAAGTAAACATGCCATTAATTCTCTTTTTCTCACTTTGCCGCATTTTTTTTTAAATTTATATTTTTTTCTTCTTCTCTTTTGCCTATTGTCTTTTTTTCTTCCTAATATCCTTTGAAAATTTATTTTTTTACAATATCTTTTTTTTTTAAAATGCTTTCATTTAATTAAAATAATTCATTTCAGTACTCAATTTTATTTTTTTTTGTCAAAAACTCCTATAGAATTTTAAATATTTTTTATTTTTTAACTTTTCCTTTAATTTTAAACTTTTTTATTTGTTTCTTTTCTTTTGCTTTTTTTTTTTTTTACTTTTTCCCCCAAGATTCTTTAACCGTTCATTTTCTTTTATTTAAAATAACTTCTTTTCTTTTGCTTCCTTTTTTTTTTGCGTTTATTTTGACCTTTAATACTTTATTTTTCTCACTTTCTTTTAATTAAATTTCTTTCAAATATCTCTCTACTTAAATTTTCTTTTTGTTAAAAACTCTTATATAACTTTAATTCTTTTTTTATATGATTCTTTAAAGTATGTTTTAAACTTATAAAGTTATTCTCTACGTGTATAACAGGTGACTCAACTAGTAAAAGAAAAAAGAGAGAGAAAAAGAAAAAGTAATGTTGGAAGAAATAAAACACATTACAACTAAAGGTTTTTTTTTTCTTTATTAAACAAACCTAAAATATTTTTGCGGGACGGTGCCCAAACTTTACAATTTTTGATATTTAGATCCACATTTTAAAACTTTAGACACATGAGATCTCAAACTCTTATTAATATGTTAGCTCGTAAGTGCCCATCTCGTTTCTGTGATTAAGTAATAAATGCCATAGAAAACGTCAATATTTTAACGCTTCTTTGCGCATTAGGTCCCCCGAAACTTTTTTTTGAAAGATATGTCTCGAAAGGTTTTTCTTTTTCTTTTTTTTAAAAGTAGAACTTGTAATTTTTTTGTTGATAAATAATATTAATCCGCCCTCTAGTCGAAGGCATACGGACACTCAGGTCAACCGAACTGAAATAGAGTAGCAGGAATTGGGTAGAAAATATATCCTTACCTCAAGTGTCATTGATTAATGGTTCTTGCACTGTACCCACTTAATGGTTACGATTGCTCCACTGTCCACAGGGTATGAAGTCCCCCAAGTGTGGAGTTGCTCGGTAGTCACTCACACGTTTGTATCAATGTTGTCGAGATCTCAGGCGAGACTGGAGAGGAAGCCGAACAGAGACTGAGGTAGCCATGATCTACTCGGCACTGGTTGCAAGGTTGGTCGGAAAAGAGAAGTTGCTCGGTTGATTTTTGTCCGAGCAGTGCCCGGCACGACGGCACCGAGCACAGCCCCAACATATGTGTCAAGTGAAAAATAAAAGGAAGTTAAATAAATTAAGGGAAACAGTAGTAAATAGTAAATTTATGAAATTAAATTTAAAAAATAGTATATTTTATAATTTTTTAAAGTAAATAATAATTTACCGTATAAATATTTTATTTACGATTGGTAAAAAATAATTTACATAATAAAAATTTTTTATTTAAATAGAATTTTTTTTTTTTACCAATTGTAAAAATAAATTACATAGAAATAAAATTTTTTTATACTAATCGTAAATAAAACATTTACACAATAAATAATTATTAAATTTCAAATAATTTTAAATTTTACTATTTAATTAATTTAATTTTATAAATCTATTATTTACTGCGTTCTTTTTAAAATAAAAACACCAATTCAACAAACAACAGCAAAAAGAAAAACGGCATCAATATTGGCCTTAATTACAAAAGATACCCAACGAGGGAAACAAAGATGGAGAAATAAACTCAATACTACTAAGCGGAATCCAACAAAGAGATATCTAGGAAAGAGAAAACTCCTGAAGATAATGTTTGTGAAAAGTACTCAAACAAGAGACAACAATATACTTTGCTTAATTGAACTTGAGAATTGAATAAAGGCTCAAAGTCTGATTCTTAGTAATTCTCAAATCAGACAAAAGCGTACAAATGCTTGGTACTCCCTTTTTATAGGCATTAGGGTGCGGTTACATTCTTTTAATCTGATCCCTTTATGTCAATCATCTAATCTGGACTGTCCATTCGCTTGTTACGGTTTCTTCTTCATTCTTCTTTGTTCTTAGTTCTGTGTTTGATCCCTCAGGCTCTTTTTTCTTTTGTTATGACTTCAACTTGTGCTTTATTCGCGTGACATGGCACCACCATTTCGTATTCCTTAAAACGCTATCGCTTCATTGTCTATTAATACTTGTCCCACACTTATTTATTCAATCATAATCATTTACTTATTCTAGTTTGGCCTTGTGCTAGGAATATACAATTAAAAAATTTAGAACAACCCCTAGAAAGCCAACAAGATTTATGCCTCGTTCATTTCACCGATTCGAGTTTTCAGTTTTAAGTTTCTACAGTAAAAAGCTCTAAAAAAATGTCATATCAACTTTTTCTGCTACAGTGAAAAGCTCTCAGAAAATGTCACATCTCAACTCGAATTAAAAACTCGAATCTGCGAAGTGAACGAGGCTTTAGAAACTCAAAAATCGTAAAAAATACGCGGCCGGGTTGTTGTTAGTAGCTTTCACAACCCCTTCTGAGAACCTCTCCGGTTTAAACTCAAGCACATCTTCTCCCCATATCTGAGGGTCAAGATGAAGTGGTAAATTGGAGATGATAAGTCCCATTTTAGCAGGAAGATTGAGATTTCCTAGTCTAACTTCTTCTTCCACGTGCCTCGAAAAGGCAACTACGGGAGGATATAGTCTTGTAGACTCGTTAATTATCTGGCTAATCTACGTATCAATCAAGGAAAAATTCCGAATTAATTCACATGTTAATTAAATGTACTTGTGAAATTGTATCTCTTTAGAATTTTGCTGATGACTTACTACTTTTAGTCTTGAAATGCCATCTGAGGTTGGATTATGTTCACCAAATGAGTTGACCGCCTCCTTTCTTGCTTCCTCTTGCCAATCTGTATGGATTGCTAGAAGCAACACAGTCCATGCAAGCAAGCTATTAGTGGTTTCCTGTCCAGCAAAGTAGAATGACCTGACCTCGGTAATCAAATCCCCCATCGAAATCTGCTTCTTTCGATCGGCATCATGGTGAGCCTTCATTAGCCCCCCAAGAAGATCACGTCCGTAGTTACCTTCTTCTCCACTCATTACCTTATCTTCTCTTTTCTTGGCCATCACCATTATGGAGTTACTGATTTCTCTCTCAAGCATATCAGATTCTATCTCATCTTTTGTGAACTTGCTGCAAAAAGGGGGAAAAATGACTAATTGAGTTCTTAAAACTGGTGGTTAAAATCTACATTTTTTCCCTAATAAAGAAAAGAGATCTATTGGTGTCATCTCATTTCCCGTCAACTTTATCCACGCCAATTTTATTTGAAGGATGAACTCAATTTCTCTCACACCACAAGACCAGCGTCAACACCGCATAATCTGTTGACCGAGTAAGGATATTAAAGTGGGGCTATAGAGTATCGAACTTTGAACTTATTCTGGGAGAAAAGGAGGAAAAACGTCCTAACCATTACACCGTCCTATTGGTGGGCCTTAAAATTTAAAATCTATAATCTAAAATGGATCAATCACCTGATGATGGGAAGCTTGATCTTGAAAAAACTCATGGTTACTATAAAGGTCAATCTCCTCAACATATCAAAGATTTTCTTTCCTTCAAGGTAACTGCTCCCAAATGCCGTTTTGGAAATCACATCTGAAGTCAACACCCTAAATTCTTCAAACACTTCGATCTCTTTGCCTTCATAGTTTTTCCACCTTTCCAGCATCATCTCAACACTAGATATCATTGCAGGAACCATACTCTATAAGACAATACCAACAAATTGTTTAGCTTTCAAGAACATACCAATATAATACACGTTGAATCACTAGTAAAGTTAAAAAGAAACTTACTTTTAAGTTTTCTGCATGGAAGAAATGGTTTGCCAGTTTCCTCAATTTGTCCCATTTTTCACCCTCGGTTACCACAAGCCCGTCTCCAAATAGCTGCTTTACAAAGCGTTGGGCCCCAGATTTCAGATATACTCTATTTTTGTTGTTGAGTACCTCTTTGATCAGCTCCAATTCCGTTATGACCAATTGAGGTTGTGTACCAAGCCATTGAAGATAATTTTTTCCTGTCAAGGAAAAAATTATATCTCATTCATAAAAGAGTTGTTCTGTCTGTGAAAGCATAATTCATTGGACCCATAATCAAAACCATGATTGTATTGGCAAGTTGCCCCTTAAACTCTAAAACAAGTTACCCCCGATCAAATATTGTAGAGTGCCACAAATCGATAAGTAATATTTAAAATTTGGAAGCAAACGCCCTCATGTCTGTGACATGATGTGTTCCAAATGTCATCAGTTGCCCCTTAAACTCTAAAACAAGTTACCCCCGATCAAATATTGTAGATTGCCACAAATCGATAAGTAATATTTAAAATTTGGAAGCAAACGCCCTCATGTCTGTGACATGATGTGTTCCAAATGTCATTAGAATTTTAATCTCTTCTTTCAAACGAGCTCATATAACGTGTACGAGGGCGTTTCAGTCTAAATTTTAATAACCGTAACTGATTTGAGGATAATCTGTGCCTTGTTAAATTTAATGAATAATTTTACTAAAATTAAAAGTTCACGGCCAAGTACTCAAATTAAAGAGTCATCTTACCATACATATTGGCCCAATACTCCTGATTAGGCTGAACCTTATGAAATATGTTGTGAGCGTCAGACAAACTCATAGGCTTGCTCATGGCTTCCTTCAACATGTTATGTATTTCCTTAGCGTTACCCAGAACGAATCTGTAAGAAGGTCCTCTAATTCCTTGAGAAGCCATAAAATATTCTATGCGAGTGGGAATCCACCATAGTTTGTGAAATGTTTTTATGAGAGCTAACAGGAAAAACAGGCCAAAAAAGCTTGAAAGCATTATTGCCATGCCTACTTACACTCTTATTTTCCGTTTATTGTTTTTCCTTTCAATGCCCCAGTTACTCTTTTATACCCAATTCCAAAACATCTTTCATTTGTCAATAGTTTAAATATTATAAATGTTATGCAAGTGATGATACAAACAATACATCAGGGTTTATCTCCCTCTGTATGACCTTGTATGCTTGTCATAGCCGTCTTAAAATTAAAATATAGGAAAGATTGGTACTTATTTTGGCTGCATTTGATTACTGGCATTACTCATGACATGCTATAAGCTGAATGGGGAAATTATACACGGATATTAAAAAAACATTAGAAAAATAGTTGCAAGGGACACTAAAAGGTGATTGTTGTATGTAGTTGTTTCCAAAGCAGAGGCAGTATTAAGTAGTATACTCTTGAAATTTTGAATTATTCATTCCTAAAATTGAGTTTTTGTTTTTCCTTTGTGGAGCTAAAAAAAATTGAGTTTTTGTTTTCTTTTTGTTTTTAGTTTTTGGTAAAAAGAAAAGGTAAAGAGGAGAGACTGGATCAAATTACTTTTTTGATGTAAATAAGGCTCCGCTTAGTAGGAGTGATGGAGAGTAGCAAAAAATGGAGAGAATGGGAGGAATGGGGAGTATGAAGGACATATAAGATTATATTATTCTTTTATATTATTTGATAGGAGTGAAGGGCAATTGAAAGGCTAAATGATAGTTATTTGTCTATTAAAGGGTAAAGTAGTCTTTTTAATTTAAATTTGAGTTGATTAGTTGAATCTTTCTATTAATAGAGGGAATTAGATTAATAGGGCTAGAGGGAGACTTTCTCCCTCCATTTCTCCTCTTTCCTTTGATCCTACTTCAAACCAAACAATAGATTTACCCCCTATATCTGTCTCCATCTTTCCCTCGTACCAAACATAGTGTAAAGGAGCCTGCTATAAATAAAAGCACTCCCAAAGCAATCTTCTTCTTGTTCTTCTTCTCCATTCATTACCTTCAATTCTCTTTTCTTGATTATCTTAATTATCGAGTTTCGCACTCCTTTCTCAAGCTGCTCTGATTCTATCCCATTATTAGTTTTAAAAAAGTTGTTGCAAAATTGGTGCGCAACAATTGATTTCATGCTTCAGAAGGGAAAAAATTAGTGAGAAAAAGAAAAGCATGGTATTTGGGACGTCTGCGACACTTAATTTATACGATTTCTATGTTACTCTCTAAACTTTTAATTTTGACAACAAAATAAGATAAAATGTCCCTAACTTGATGCTAACTGTTAAAATTTGAACGAAAACACCCTTATATTGTACACTTATGTGAGCTGATCATTTGAAAAAATAGAATTAAATTTTAGATGATCTGAGCACATCATGTCACATGTATGATGGTGTTTCTTTCAAATTTCAACATCATTCATCAGTCAGGGTGCACTATACAAAACTTTATCAAATTTAGGAGTGAAAGATTTAACATGATTAAAAGTTATGGTAATAACTTGCTAATTCAGTCAGATTTTAAGGGGAAAAAGCCCCAAAAAAAGGCCTATGAGCTAGACTTCGTTTCAGTTGTTTTTGCAATCCAAAAACGGAATTTACCTTGCTCCAGGAAATCTTTGGGTGTTTAAGAGGGCGTTTGGTTTATGTATTCAGAATCATGATTCAAAATCATTCTCGTTTTGCGTGTATTTTTTATAAGAGAAAACACTGTAAAGTTGCTCCAGGAAATCTTTGGGTGTTTAAGAGGGCGTTTGGTTTATGTATTTAGAATCATGATTCAAAATCATTCTCGTTTTGCGTGTATTTTTTATAAGAGAAAACACTGTAGAAAACCATGAATCATGATTCAGAATCGGGGATGAATATAGGAAACAAACGCCCCCTAAGTTTTTGGATGCTAAAGAGGCCAACTTCTCGAACGTTTCAAAAATTGCCTCCCCTTCCACGTAACTGCTCCCAAATACTGTCCTTGAAATCACTTTTGATATCAACAACCAACCGAAAATCCTCATACACATCAATCTCTTTGCCTTGATGATATTTCCATTTTTCGATCATCGTCTCAACACTGGCAATCATTGCAGGAATCATATCCCATCATATACTTATAAAAATTGATAGATCTGGGTTAATTACGTTCAGTTGCTCGAGTAAAATAAAGTGCAGAAAGTAAAGGAATACACAATATGATATCGCAGTTCGGTGCGCACACTACATCTGCGGGGTCACGCCCAAACAGTAAACATTTTACTATGTTTCAGAAATTACAGACACCGGACGGACTTATTCACTCAAGGACTCCCTCCTACACAATGACACCGATGTTATGAATCTCTACAGTGATTATTTAGCATGCACCACACGTCTTTTATTCACCTGGGGAACTCCCTTCGACTGGCAGAGCTTCCTCCCGAAAGCAACAAATTTCTCTTCCAAAGGACGATCTCAATAGTGCACTAGGCTCACAAAAACTCACAGACTCTTTTCTGAAAATATTATATTAAACCCCACATCCTTAGTGGCATGAAACAAGACCTTTAAATAAATCTTCTAAGACCTCTCGAGAATTATCTTCAAATTTACTCAGATAAGCTTCTCCTTTTTTTTCTGCACGATTCTCTCTATTAAATCAACTCACAATATCTCCGTAAAGAATATTCCAACACAAAATCTTCATGCTATCTCCTCACTTCACATTTTCGTCATTAATATGTTCACTTTGAATTTCAAAACCAATTTCAACATGCAACATATAATCTCCTTTTAGCTAACTCCACGTTAATGCCCATAAAAAACATCCACACACAAATACAATATATATATATATATATATATCTCAAAGATAAACTAAAAGCTTGATCTCCATATACTATATCTCTCATTTATCTCTAAATCCACTTTTACAAATAAAGCTCACTTTGAAATTCAAACATAAAAATAAACTCAACCGAACTTGTAATGTAGCATCCATAATATGCTTTATCTTCTCCACGTGAGGTGCCACTTTTAATCTTCTCATTTGAAATTGAAACACAATCCATATCTCCAAGAGATCTACACACAATCTGTTCAAATTCAAATCACTAATGCCTTATCTTCCTTTGACCAAGGCCTTACCCTTATATCTCCAATTTCCAAATCTCAACCAATGTCTTATATGCAATCTTTAACTTCAAATCTGATTTTAAATCTTCTTTTGCAATACGAAATCTTCTTGAACCTGTTTTTTAAATTTTTACAAGATTGCCAATAAATTACCAACTAATAAAAATACCTAACAATCTCCCCCTTTGGTATTTTTTGGCAAAACTAACAAAAGATCCTAAAAATTTAAAAAGGTAAAAAATTATAAAAAATTACATTGCTCCCCCTTTTTGGCAAAAATAAGCCAAAGAAACAACGAAAAAAATAAAAAAAAAATCACGCCCTAGACATGTCTTCAGTAGCTGATGTCGCATATCATGTTGTAACATTTGCTGGAACAGTCGGTGTAACACTTCACACTAGATATCTTTGAGGGCATTGATCTCTGTAGCTTACTCCCCTTGAATCTTTTCTATGTCTTACTCCCCCTGAATGTAGCATTCTTCCATGTATAATGCTCTTAACACTTGTCAATCGCTTAGTGCAACCAGCATCACTACACCCACAATCATTAGTACATGCTTCTAAAGAAGTATAAGCCTTATGACACCTCAAATCAGATTTCCTTACCCACACACGTCTAGAAAAATTATTTTGCACATCAATATTCACGTTAGGTGTCTTCTTTGAGTTTGTAAAATTTGGTGGATTAATAAACATACCGTTCTTCCAATCATTTAAATACTTGTAGCATCTCGGTCTTATGTGGCCAAGTAAACCGCAGTAATGGCATGTGGGGACAAACCATCTATGTCGAGGGGATGAGATAGTAACCTTCTTACTGGAGGAAGTCAAAGGCTTAGGGGCAGACGTCTTCTTCACAAACATTATTTTGGACGTTGAGCTCTCACCAGTATAGTCAAGGTCATGTCGATCACCACTCGCTTTTCCTATCGAGATAATGTGATCCAATTTTGTGGTGCCAGAATTCATCATCTTAAATGACTTTTGAGTGTACTCTAATTCAAATCTTGTCTCCAGCAGCTTTTTCTCCCTTTCAACAGCCCGAAATTCATAGTTTACAGCAGCCCTCCTAAGTACATCCTTCTCTTTAATAAGCTCATCGATTCGCTCCCGCAAAGACTTATTCATTTTAACTATCAAAACCCATTTGTTGAACATGGTTTCATATGCCTCCTTGATTGTCTCCTCAGTTAGTTCTTCACCATCGCTGGAACCGTCAGAATCTGAAAAATCTATGTTTTCTTCTAGTTTTCCAGAGTGTGTTGCAAATGTTGTTGCAGATGATGTTGCAACATGAGCTGTGACACGATCTGTAATATTGCAGTTTAGAACATCTTGGTAGACATTGAACGCAACATAGTTGTTCACATGATCATCATCTTCCTGGTTGCCTTCAGAATCCTCATCACTCCATGTGACGTTGAGAGACTTGTTCCTCTTTTTAAGAGTGTTAGCACACTCAGACTGAATGTGACCGTAACTGTCGCACTCTCGGCATTGAATTCTCATATTCTTCTTCTTATCATTAGAGGAATTTGTAGCTCCCTTATTTTTCTGAAAATTGTTGGAGTTGTTGAAAGTTGGAGTTTGGTTCTTCTCGTTGAACTTCTTCATCACCCTGTTAAAATTTTTTGTCAATCGAGCAAGAGACTCCGCGAAGTCTTCATCTTCTTCAACATTATCTTCCACTTCGGCTTGGAAAGTAATCCCCTGAGAAATCTCTTTCTCCTTCTTAGTTTGACTCAGATTCATTTCAAATGTCCTCAGTGATCCCATCAATTCATCAAGTCTCATAGTCTCAGTGTTTTTCGCCTCTTCAATAGCAGTGACTTTGTAGGCAAATCTCTGTGGTAATGATCTCAACGCCTTGCTAACAAGTTTTACCTCAGGAATTTTTTCACCGAGAGCAAATGATTCATTAGCTATATCACACAACCGTGAATTAAATTCAGAAATTGTTTCAGTTTCATGCATTCGAAGATTTTCAAACCTGGTTGTGAGAATATTCAATTTAGATTGTCTGATGGCGACGGTTCCCTCATGAGCAATCTCCCATGCTTCTTTTGCCGATTCACATGTAGATATCATCTTGAACTGGTTAATGTCAACTCCATTGAATATTGCATTGAGAGCACGAGAGTTGTAGATGGCCAACTTGTTTTCATCACTATTCCAGGAGCCTTTAGATTTTAGAATCTCTTTTCCTTCTGCATCTTTAGTTACTGGATGTTTCCAGCCATTCAAAATAGCACGCCATGCCTTCTCATCTTGAGCCTTGATGAAAGCCATCATCCGGGCATTCCAGTATGAATAATTCAAACCATCGAGCAAAGGGGGACATGTAACTGAACCTCCTTCCTTTAGAAAATCCATTCCAAATATGACAGATCAACTCTCCAAGATCTCACCGAACTTATGGTCGGTGAGCCGCTCTGATACCACTTGATAGATCTAGGTTAATTACGTTCAGTTGCTCGAGCAAAATAAAGTGCAGAAAGTAAAAGAACACACAATATGATATTGTAGTTCGGTGCGCACACCTACATCTGCAGGCCACGCCCAGACAGTAAACAGTTTACTATGTTCCAGAAATTACAGACACCGGACGGACTTATTCACTCAAGGACTCCCTCCTAGACAATGACGCCGCTGTTACGAATCTCCACAGTGATTGTTTAGCATGCACCACACATCTTCTATTCACCTGGTGAACTCCCCAGGACTAGCAGAGCTTCCTCCTGAAAGCAACAAATCCCTCTTCCGAAGGACGATCTCAATAGCGCACTAGGCTCACAAAAACTCACAGACTCTTTTATGAAAATATTCTATTAAACCCCACATCCTTAGTGGCCTGAAACAAGACCTTTAAATAAATCTTCTAAGACCTCTCGATAATTACCTTCAAATTTACTCAGATAAGCTTCTCCTTTTTCTCTGCACGATTCTCTCTATTAAATCAACTCACAATATCTCCTTAAAGAATCAGCACAAAATCTTCATGTTATCTCCTCACTTCACATTTACGGCATTAATATGTTCACTTTGAATTTCAAAACCAATTTCAACATGCAACATATAATCTCCTCTTAGCCAACTCCACGTTAATGCCCATAAAAAACATCCACGCACAAATACAATATATATATATATATATATATCTCAAAGATAAACTAAGCTTGATCTCCACGTACTATATCTCCCATTTATCTCCAAATCGACTTTTGCAAATAAAGCTCACTTTGAAATTCAAACATAAAAACAAACTCAACCGAACTTGTAATGTAGCATCCATAATATGCTTTATCTTCTCCACGTGAGGTGTCACTTTTAATCTTCTCATTTGAAATTGAAACACAATCCATATCTCCAAGAGATCTACACACAATCTGTTCAAATTCAAATCACTTATACCTTATCTTCTTTTGACCAAGGCCTTATCCTTATCTCTCCAAATCTCAACCAATGTTTTATCTGCAATCTTTAACTTCAAATCTGATTCTGAATCTTTTTTTACAATACGAAATTTTCTTGAACCTATTTTTTGAATTTTTACAAGATTGCCAACTAATAAAAATACCTAACAAAAATCTCTCATCCGATTACAAAGATGGTATATTCATCAAAGTAATTTGCATTATGCATAATGTACTAACTGACAACTATGCTAACATTACTTTATTTTCCAGTTCTAACAAAGAAGTGAGAGAGTAAGACTTAAGAACTTTTACTTTCAAGCTTCCGACTAGAAGGCATGAGTAGCGAGTTTGCGCATTTTCGCCCACTCGAGACATTGAAACACCATCTCCAAGTATCTTAAGACAAGGATTTTTCTAAGAGAAGGCATACGCACAGAAAGCTTAAGACAAGGATTTTAAGATCATCACTCAACCAACTCATTTTTTCTTTTTTTTTTTCTTTCAATGTTTTCTTGGTTGTCCCAGAAGTTCTCAGTGATCTTAAGCTTCTTTCTCTGTCACTCTAATTTAAAGCTTTCTTGTTTGATATATAAAACAAAAATCAATCAATAAATCAAAGAAGAGGAGGAGATTTGCTCATGTGGTGGAAACCACGGGCGCAGAATTAGGCCCCATCATTTGTAGAAAATCGGTCCACCAAAAGAAAATTTGTCACTGTCCATCCTCAATAATTTACAATTTCTTGTGAAAGTGGTTAGGAAAGCAATCAGGGATCCAGAAAAGTCTGATCAGGTACTTAATTAAGACAAATGTTTGAAACATGATTATGGAAATACTATAGTAACGAAATATATAACAACTATTCTACCAACATATTCCACGCTTTTTAAATCATTGACTAACAGTTTTATTAATTTATTTATTGATATTATTGATATTTGAAAATTGTGTTTGATTGTATATGTTAGTGAATTTCTCTTGTTTGATGATGTCATAAATTCTTCATGATACTCTTAGAAGGAAATAGCTGTTCCACTTTTACTTTAGAGACTTGGAGAAAGTAATAATAATAAAGATAAATTGAGAGAGAAAAAGAGGATAAAATGAATTTCATATCAACTCAAGAGAGAGATTTGAAAAACTAACAAAGACAAAATAGAAAAATTGAAATTAGTAGGGCCAAACTCAAATTCTGTAAACTACATTTGCAGCTTTAAAAATAAAAATTCTTTGAGTGGAGGCACTAGATAGATGTATCACTTTTGAGGGAGTCTTGGTAGATTGTAAAATAAAAAATTAGTCTTCATGCGGAGTTGGCTCTGAGCTCCGCATGAGACAAATGTGTCCCACAAAGGCGGAGCCAAAATAGAAGTGCTCATCATCAAAACAACAGAAGTTCTAGCCTCTGTTGCTTGATAAAACCGATTTTGATGTGCCAGGCATATAGTTCTAGACGATCAAATAAGATTGGCCTGTTTAAATAAGGGAGAGCCTTCTATGATTTCCAATATATATAGCAATAAGCAGATGTAATGAAAATAAGCTAAAGCAAGCAAAGTAGAAAACAACTAAAACAAAACAAAGTTCAAAAAATAATTGGTGGTACAATGTTTGCAATTTCACTCTTGCTAGATATCTGCCACAGGCAAACTCTAGGCTTCAAAATGTGGGTGTAACATTACTTGAACTCCATATTGTGGGCGATTCGTAAGAACCTGAACAGGCGAGTGAACATATGCCGGTGACAGAGTGACTGTGTAGCGCTGCAGAATCATCGCGAGAGCGATCTTTGCTTGCATGATGGCGAAGTTAGACCCAACGCAGTTTCGGGGTCCAAATCCAAAGGGTACAAATGCGGCAATGTTGTTCTTAGTAGCTTTAAAAACTCCTGGAGAGAATCTCTCTGGTTTGAAAAGATGCACATCTTCTCCCCATATTTGAGGGTCGTGATGAACTGCCAGGTTTGAGATGAACAAGCTCATGTTAGCTGGAAGATTGAGCTCTCCCAATCTCACTTCCCTTTCCACTTTTCTTGACATGCTAACTACCGGGGGATAAAGTCTAAGAGACTCGTTGATGATCAGGCTTACCTGTTTTGGAAGTGGAACACAAAACAAAAACAAAAAAACAAAAGAAAATTATCATCCTGAGACCTAGTACCCTTTGGTTTTTAATTTTATTAGATTGGTACTTTCGTGTTCGGATAATACCATTACGGTACCTTGTAGTTTATTTGGGATATAAAATGTCATTTCACACGTTTTAGTCTTAAAACACACTAAAAAAGAAAAGAAAAAATAAAAAATAGACTAAAGAAAAGGAAATTGTTTGTACTACAAGGTGTCCCAATAGAATTATCGGAACGCTGAGATATCAATATGATAAAGTTAAAAACTGCGGGTATCAAAATGATAATTTCCTTCAAAAGGAATCAAGACTTCAAGAATAATTTGAACTTTTCTATTTAGACAAATAATTTGATACTTTTCTTACAGTTTTAAGTTGGATTAAGTCATCTGGTTTTGGATTTTGCTTTCCCAATAGATTGTTAACCTCCTTCCTCGCTTCCTCTTGCCATTCAGTATGGATTGCCAACAAAAGCACAGTCCAAGCAAGCAAACTGTTAGTGGTTTCTTGCCCAGTAAAATAGAATGTCTTGCACTCATCAACCACATCATCTACTGAAAATCTCTGGTTCTCATTGACATCATGACGAGCTTTTACAAGTAATCCAAGAAAATCACTTCCAAAGTTGTCCTCCTCTCCACTGATCACCACTTTCTCTTCTCTTTTCTTGATCAACCCGACAATGGATTCGCGTAATCTTTTCTCAAGCCTCTCTGATTCTATCTGATCTTCAGTTTTAAAAACTGTACTGCAAAATATAGACCAAGTAACTAAAGCCTCTCTGCTGCCTAAGAATGAGTTTAAGAACTAATGTAGTTTTATGCTTTGTAGGCATAATGTAGTTACTTAGTTTAATAAAAGGACTTACCTGATGACAGGAAAGGTTTGTTCGTAGAAATTTCTGGATGCCAATAAGGCCAACTTCATCAACATCTCAAAAATGTTTTTCCCTTCCAAGTAACTACTCCCAAAAGCTGTCCTTGAAATCACCTCTGACATTAAGAACCTAAATTCTTCATACACCTCAATCTCTTTTCCCTCTAGATGCTTCCATCTCTCTAACATGCTTTCAACTCCCTCAATCATTGCTGGAATCATCCTCTTTCCCCAAAACAAAACAAAAAAAAAAAAAACAATAAAATAAAACAACCATGACAACCTTGATATTTGCCTAGAAAAATCTAAATAAATAAATCCCATGACAACCATGATAAATGCCTAGAAAAATCTCTCATTTCAGGGTCCTATTGATGATAATTGCTAAAAACTAGTGACTACTATTGATTCAAGTTTCATGATATGGTTTAATAAATAACAAGTTAAACCGTGATTGCAATCATAGCCTAGCGGTATCCGCACCTGACTTCACCATAAGGCGTAGATTTCAAATATCCTCACCCTCAAGTTTAAAAATAAATAAATAAAATAACAAGTTAAACCAAATTATTTAATCTACTTCTTTCTCTTCAACTAGAGTAAAGGGTAAGTAGCAATGGTAGTGAAAGGAGTAACAAGAAGAGCATACTTTAAGGCTCTCTGCATGGAAGGCATGGTTAGCAAGTTTCCTCACTTTTGCCCACTTTTCACCTTGAGATATAACAAGTCCATCTCCTAATAACTTCTTAAAAAAGGCTTTTCCCTTGCCTTTGGAATACACTCCATCTCTGTCATTCAGTACCTCTTTGATCAACTCAGCTTCTGTTATAACCAATTGAGCTTGAGGACCATCCCACTGAAGAAAGTTCTTTCCTGTTATATAAAAGGCAAAAATTTAGTACTAAAAGTACCCCAAAAAAAAAAATCTTTGGAAGCCAAATTCAGATAGACATAGTACTAAGGTTACAATACAAAAGTGTCATGTACCATATAAGTTGGTCCAATAGTGGATATGAGGCTGAAGTTTAGGAAATATGTCATGTGATAAACATGGCATAGGTCTGGCCATGGCTTCCTTTTGCATGGTCAAGATTTCTTTGGTGCTTCCATGGATGAATCTGTAAGAAGGGCCTTTGATTCCTCGCAAACGCATCAGATGCTGTAGACGAGTTGGGGACCACCATAGCTTGTTGGATATCTTGATCAGAGCTAATAGAAGGCACACAAAGAGAAAGCATAAAACAAGAAGCATCAAATCTCTTGCTGGACTCACCTTTCTTGATTATTTTTCTCTATAGTTCTAAGTTATTTCAAGTTTCAAATCTCAGTGATCCATTATAAAAGATGATTTAGATTTTATGTGCCGACACAATAGGTGTTGTTGTACAACGGGTCCCCACCAATGCGAAATGGTCAAGCACTAAACTAATAAATAGTATAAAAGCGAAGTATGCTTTGTCCCGAGGCCGAGGGAATGTGGACAAGAACAGCTTTCATAAATGGATAAATTTTATCAAATCCCCTGAGCTATGTCATTTATATCAATAAATCAGTACGGGGTCATTTGTATCAATAATATATCAGTACGGGGTTGTTTAGAATATATATTCAAATTATGATTCTTAATTCTGACATTTAAAATTTAAATTTTTTATAAGAGAAAAATAATGTAACAAAATCAATAATTTGTTGTGTAATCCTTATTATTTATTTGTTGCGTAATTTTATATGATCTCCATCAAACAAGAGATGGGCTTTATGTTTGATGGGGATAAATGTGGGAGACAAAGTGTTTTCCCTATTTATTCCAACTTGTTGATTTCGGATTTCAAAACATGTAATTCAGATTTATTTTTCCCGGTTTTAGTTTTTTAAAAAGAATGAATTTCAAATAAAAAAATGCAAACACCAGTGTGGACTCGAACCATCTATTTTAATTTAGGCTTCGTTTATTTCACCGATTCGAAATTTTAATTCCAATTTTATTACAGTTAAAAGCTCTCATAAAAAATCACATCTAACTTTTTTACTCAAGTTAAAAACTCACATAAAATAACATCTCAACTCGAATTGAAAACTCAAGTCAATAAACTGAAGGAGACCTTAAAATAATATCTAACTAACTATATTAGTGTCATGTCATTTAAAAAATTTAAAATGTCTTTTGATTGACTTTTTTATGCTTCAAAATTTAAATCTATTAAATAATGTACCATAATATAATTAGCTAGCAACAATTTTGCATGTTAAAAATTCACCACCAAAAAAATGGCGTCAGACTTTTTGTGCTGGAAAGTTATAGAAGCTATCAGACTTTCTTTTTCTTTTTCTTTTTCACCTTTCTTTTTCTTTTTCTTTTTTTTTTCTTTTTTTGCTTAATGCTTCTTTTTTTCCGTATTGGAGGTGTATGGCAAAAGCATGAAGATCCAAATTGCACACGATACAGCTTAAAACCAAGAATTTTGATCTGGTGCCACCATCTTAGACACCTTGCCAGAGTCTACATCATTAGTTGATCAGATTGCACAGAAGATGCGCACTCATAATGGATAAGTAAATATTGAAATTACGCTATGAACTGCTTTAACAGTAATTGCAAATGTGGATGAAAAAAAAAAGGGTCAAAATTTGATCCTCAAATCTGAGGAATTCACGGGAACAGACTCAAACGGGCAGAAACATATTGCTATAAACATATAGCGAATAAATTACATTAATACAAGATTTGCGTGGAGTTGTGCTCAGCAGAAAATGTGAAGGGCTTGAAGCTCTTTCTTTCAAGTCTTCCAACCTTGATACAACAGGATGAGCAACTGCACGAGTCAAAGAGAGGATTGAATACAATATCAAACAGACAACATACAAGGGAATAGTTTTGCCAAAAATATTACCTTACCCGAGCCCGATACAACGGTCAAAACAAAAGGAACATGCAAGAACAAAAGTCAGCTTCATCTCCTCCTTTTCCTGCCTTTTCCTAATTGCCCAGATTTGAAAGCGTGTTCTTGTTCGTCAAGGAATGCTTTCACCTTGTTATATTTCTGTGTCTTTTCTTCTTCCATCGCTGCCTTGTCCCTTGCTTTAACCTCCTGCAAGAAATAATTGTCTTTACGCAGCTCGCGAATCGCCCCTTTAGCCTCTTCTTTTAGGCGTTTCTTCAACTTTCTCCTCTCAGCCCTTTCACGATCTGGATCGTAGTCTCTCCCCTTCACAAAGCTGCAGAACAACATGACCAAGTTAATGCACCCAATGCAGACCACCTATTCTGAGAAGCATTATGAAAAGAGAACGAAAATGGAAACTGTAGAGTAATTACTTCTCTTCAAATTTGGGATTAAGCATTCTGATTGGCACCAGCTTCTGTCTCCGCATTTGAAGAGGTTTCCGCAACATGTGACGTTCATTAACTTTTGTCTCGATGAGTTGAGCAACATCTTTGAGTTTATCTTGTAATGGACCTACCATGTTTTCTTGTTGTGCCACTTCACGTAACAAAACTGAAATTGGCAAGAAAATTTCAGGAAAAGAACTCAAGCCCTCATATACGTTGACAAATCCTCGTAGAGTTTCAACCACAGTAGCCAGTACACTAGTCCTGAAAGTTAGAAAGTTCAAATTTTCATCAAACTATCAAAGAGAAAAATGGAGCTCTTGCAAGAGGACATATAGCCCTAACGCTAACAGAGTTTTATATTTCAATGCAAATACAACATCTTTTGGCACAGAAGATCTAACTTGACCACATACTGATGAAAAGTACTCGTAACATGGATAAACAGGGAATTATTATACTTGCTAACTTCTAGGAGTTCATTCGCTACAGGGAAAAAATAAATAAATAAAATACATTGGCATCATCTACTGGAGCAATTTTCAACTTTGGCCATAAACAAGTAATTACCAACTATACAGTCTGCATAATATAAACACTATATAAAATAACCCCAATCCAGCACATTACAAAATAAAATGACAACAATCCAGTACTAACCTAAAATTCTCAGTGTCAAAAAATGAAGAGTCCTCTGGCAGGTCCATTATAGTGAAGAAATTCAGGGGATCAATCTCATTTGCATGTCCACGTAAAGAAATCAGGGGATTGAGCGCCTTTAATTCCATGAGATAATAATACTGCAAACACATACAGAGATCAAATGGTTATGTCATCAAACAATAGACTCTGTGTAGAGTAGAGTTATTTTTTGTAAGATATTTAGTTCTCATGAATGAAGTGATTCATTTTATGAATGGTAGCATAAATATTAGCCCCATCCTATATTCATAAATGAATTTTGAAACAAACAAAATCGTACTTGAGTATCTTGATTTGACGTCGTGTTTCCATCTTTAGCTGCCATCAGCAACATTCGAAGAAACAAAATTGCTTCAGGACAGAACTTCTGAGATTGTTTCACTAACTGCATCACAAAATTAATTAATTGAAATACCTGCAACTGGATACAAGCTAACGAACTTTCTCAATAAACACATTCAGATTGCATAAACTGTCAGATAAAAAAGTAAAACAGTTCCAAATATACATACAGAGAGTAGCATAGAGCACAGGAAAGAGCCAACAACAATATCACGACCCGATATGATGGGGCAACGCATAAGATATTCACACATTAACAATATTGCCGGGGTCATGACTGCATGGCGGAAGTCGGAGCAAGGAAATATCAAGGACCAAAGTCTCAAGAGAAATAATGTCTTTGACGAAGGCCAACGACTATTTTCTGCAAGGACACAGTGAATTTGACCGGGCAATAGGACATCAGCAGCAAGCTTAAAAAAATGTATTGTGGTAGAAAAATAAATTAAGGTATGAGAATTCACCTACCTGGGTTCTTGATGATCTCACAAAATTGTGTGTGGGTTCGTAAAATCCTTTGTCGAGCACAGATTGCAGCAAAATACGGGATTTCTGCACTCATGTCCATCAATGGCTTCACCAATAAATCCAATAACTCAATATTCAATGGCCTGTTATTTGCCAAGACAGCAAAATACTGCAGCAGCACACCATAAAACACCTGAAAATGGGCAGAAATGTTAAGTAAATACAATGATAGCATAGGAAATATATTTGGCCAAAACTCTTCAATCAAGAAATATTATATAAATCTTTTTTTTTTAATAGTTTCATACTTGCATTTTCTTCCGATTTTCTGCTGCTAGCTTGATTGCATTACTAGCCCGAATTCGATTGATTATCAAGATAGTATCACTATTAGAGCAATTATCCACTAATGCACAGAATTCTTCAAAGGTTTTTGGAGCTTCAATTAGGTAGGGAAGCTCTAACCGCATTGAAGGCTGTTTTTCATCGGCTGTCTTTTTCCTAGCATGCAAAGAATCTTTGTGCCCTTCACTTGTTTCAACAGAATGAATATTCTGTTCTTTTTTTGAATCTATTGGCTTTATATCTTTCTCGTCAGCGTAATCATCTTCATCATGTTCTTCATCTTCATCTTCCTCCTGATCCAAATCAATTTCAAGGTTTTCATCATCACTCTGTTCCCAGTCCTTGATTGATAGACCCTCCTCGCGTACATCATTATCTTCATCAGACCCTTCTTCATCACTGCCATTTTCAGAATTCTCTGAATCCGCAGAAGAATCACCTTCTTCACTGTCACTGTTTTCAGCATCTCTTTCAAGAATCTCATCAACCCAACCCTTTTTAGCCCTGGGCTCCTCATCAAGCACAAAGGAATCACCAAGATCGTCACCAGATATTGCTCTTGGCCTTTGGGAAGACAGTTTCTCTGCATCTTCATCCTCCTCGTCGGTATAGTCGTCTGTGGCAAGCATCCTCTTTTGCCTTTCTTCCTGAAGTTTTTTTTTTTATACAAGTTATATACAGCATACAATTTCTGAAAGTATAACACTACGAACTGCTGTAAAATACCAGATTCTTTTTAAACAAGAAGAACTAGAATAACTTTTCAAATACTAACTTAGATTAGTTTTTCCAAAAACATGTTGCACAGATAAGTGTAGCAATGATGTTTCTACAAAATAAACATCTATTGAATAATGGCTAGGAATATAGGTAAGGGAAAGTCAGCATAGTCTGAGCATGCAAATCACATGCCTGGATCTTAGCAACTGATAAATGAGAGAGATACCTCTAACTGCTCTAATCTTTCTCTCTCCTCCTGGGCAACCTCCTCTGGCGTTTTTGTCCTATCTGAGGGGCGAGCACGCATTTCCAGTGCCATTGCTTTAACCATCTTGTCATAAGCATCAGGTTTTTCCTATAACGTAAAAAACAACGGAAAGAAGTAAATAATAAAAAAATAAAAAACATATTATTTAATGAAGAATTTCAAAACTGAGATCATAGACATTGCAGAGCGTGGCTACTTTACAAACCAATAGCACAAATCTAACAGATTGGAAGTTTCCCACACCTAAAAGACATCATCTAAGAAAATGTACCTGATTAGAAGTTCCTAAATTTTGCATAGCAGAAAACACATCCTTTTTTACTTGCTCATTCGGAATGCTCTTGTTGACAAGAGCCTTTAAAGCGTTCATCTTCCCAGGTTCAGTGACAGATAATAATGCTTTTGATTGCACCAAGGACGTGAAGTTTTTGTCCAATTCTTCCATCAACTGTTCATTCTCTTCCTTATCTTTTGCTTTTTGTGCCTAGCAAAAATAATGGAATTTTTGTAAGGAAATCATTATAATAATGTTTTAAAAAATAAAAAAAAAAAAAAAGTCTGAAAAACCGGCATATCAATATTGAAAAAAGTAAATTAATTTTAAATAAAATAGAACAATCTTCACCTTGTAAAACTTGCTCTTTAATATGAGCTCATCCATCACTTCCTTCTTGGTTTTGTGCTTCTGCAGAATCAAAGTATCACATTGTAAACATACGTAACAATCAATCGAAGAACGCAAAGATATCATTATACTATGTTTCTATTACGATGGGCATAAGCAATAAATGTAATCACGAACGTTTCTATTACGATGGGCATAAGCAATAAATGTAATCACGAACAATCAAAATGATCAACCACTGCAGTGTTCTATGCTGCAAAACATTAAACTTCCAATTGATCACAGCAGATACAAGTACAAACAGTTAGAGAAAGATAGAAAGAGAAATAACATGAAGCAGTTGGGAGATGTCAAATAGGATTATGAAACCAAATTCTGCCACACTACAAAAAGTATGTGATGCTTAATCGATAGAGTAAACACAATACACCTGCCTGGCAAAAGGGGGACAGAGACAAACAACAAGAACTAAGGTAGCGGAAGGAATCTTACATTATCCTCTCCTTCGGATCGACCCCAGTCAAGAACATTCTGCCTTCGCGCAAATGGATCTTCTGCAGAGAACAAAAAAATATGCAGCATCAGAACCCCTCGCATAATGAAAATGCCTTAAGCGGCAACAGAAATCGAACAAAAGAACTCATCAATCATGGAATCAATGTATCAAGCGGCACATACTCTCGATGCCAGCAGCTTCTTCACCGCCGTAATCTTCATCATCATCAGGCAACATTTCATCTTCAAAATCGTCCCTCCCGGATAATGCACCAAAACCCGAAATATCCAACTCATCTTCCTCTCCGTCAGATAAGTTATACTTGCTTTTCTTACTGATTTTCAACTATAAACGAAAAGAAAAGGGGGTGGGGGACAAGTATAAAAAGATTAATAAAAATCACATTCTCCAAATCCACTTCATAATCGCTAAGAAAACTCAATAAAGCAAAGGAATTTACACTTCATAATCGTTTAATCGTCAAATTACTAGCTTAGAACGCCAATCAAACATGAAAATGAAAACTAATTCTACACAAAACGCATCAGAAAATCCAAGATCCTCACTTGGCGTTCGCGCTGGGAACGAAGAATGGCCTTATCGAACTCGCCTAGGTCATCATTTTGCTCTCCGATACGCCTATCCACAAACACCGAAGACTTCCCGCTCTGCTCGTAATCCTTCAGCAGCGTCTTCTTCCTCTGTTCCACACAACCAAAACCAAAACACAAAATCACGAACTCCACAAAACCAGCAAAACATCGCAAAAAAATGGCGAAATTTCGGATGAAAATTCAGGAAATGAGGCTTGCGAAGTTGCCTTTTCGATGGCTTGAGAGCGAGCGAGGCCGATACGGCGCTCTTCCCCCTTGCGCTTCTTGCCGAGAATGTCGAATTTCCTTCGCGACCAAATTGTCTCGAAGGGGTTGTTGGGTTTGGGAACCTGGACTTTCATGGCGACGGCCTCTGGACCTGACTTCTTCGTCTTCTTCTTCTTGGTCTTGGCGGCGGCGCCGCCTTGTTTTGATGTCTTCGCCATGGTTTCTCCACTCCGATAAACAGTCCAAGAAGATGGTAATGGCGTTGCTGGTTTGCGTTCAAGAGGTCGGAGAAGAATGCTGATTTAGGGTTTTGCTGGGGTTCTTGTTCTTCGTTGTTGTTGGTGGGATAACGGCACATACGGATTTTCTTAAAAAATAACCGAGGTGTCGTAAAATTAGCAAAATGGTCGTTTGCTTTATTAATTTTAGTGGTATGGCCCATTCTTTTCGCATATTCGAATTTAGAATTCAATTCTTGCTACAGTAAAAAGTTATCATAAACAGTCACATCTAACATTTTTACTACAGTAAAAAGCTTTTATATAACATCACATCTCAACTCGAATTAGCGAACCGAACGGGCCCACTTAACTTAGGTCTCTCGAATTATAATTCAAACTTTTATTACAACATTTTCTCTTATAAAAATTTAAATTTAACTTTTTTTATTATAGTAGTTTTTCTCACATGAATTAAATTCTCAATTTAAATTCTCAATTTAAATGAGTGGAACAAATAAACTTTTAAAAGTTAATCACTGATTGACTGGTCTATTACTCACAGACTTAGCAGTTATTAACTTAAATTTATCATTAAATAACTTGAAGATTTTTTATTATTAATTAATATCAATTAATAGTTAATAATTAACTAAAATTAATTAATAATTAATCAATTTCAATCAACAAATTACATGCTTATAAATAATAAATCATTAATAAATTACAATAATAAATCGATCAATTGACTATTAAAAAAAATGCCATTTTATTAAAATAAAAAAAGTTCAAACATTTATTTAAAAAAAATTAAAAAAAATTTAGCTATTTATTAAAAAAGATGATCAAAAAAGTCGTTTATCTAATTTTTTAAAAATTTTATTCATACCCAAGTTCTTATTAAGGCACCCTAACATATTTAAAAATTGAAATTATTCTAATTAGTCATTCAATTAATAAAAAGAAAATAAAAAAATTATAACAGCACTCAATTATTTAGAATGACATAAATAATAAATTTTTATAAAATCATGATAAATCATGTACTTTATTATATTAAAATTTAGGGTGCCAATAAAATTTATCATTTTAATTTTGTTGGTTTAATTCTCAAAATGACATACGAAAGACGTGTTGTCATTTCATTCTAGATTTCAATGTCGTTGAATTGAAACATTTTGACGACGACATTGATGGGCTACATACATTCAAAGTTTCAAAATCAATGTCGTTTTCCTTAAAAATAACATGTCGTTTGAGTTTGATGATGCACATGTCATTTGTGTCACGGAGGACGTCAACCTCCACCTCAGCGTTAGCAGTCTGAACCATCGAAATGAAACTCAGATTTCATTGTACATCAAAGCTTGCTTTGACCTTATGCTTGACGTGCTTCCATAGGATTGCTCTCCTAGAGGTATCAATTAGGCCAAGCGTCCAGCCTGCTACACTGATAAATTCAGCACGGCCCAGTCCTATACTGTTATAGGCCGGGCCGGGCCGGCACGCCAAAAGGGTTTGGAATGGGCCTCATGTTTGAGGCCAGCAGCCCAGGCACAGCTTGCGAAGGCCCAGGCCCGTGACATGAAATTTTAGTGAAGTTTGAGGCATTTTAGTGCCAGCCGGTCGACCTATGTTGTCTAGTCAAGCAATCATTTTCTTGTAATTATCCATATTATTTCAATAAAATCACATTTTTTTAGGGCATATGATAAATTACTTTTTTTTGTCATGAAATATGAAATTATAAAAAAAATCCTAAAAAAATTGTTAATCATAATTGAAACTCAAGTGCATTAAGAAAATTAAGTTAAAATTGAGTTTTGAGGGGAATCCAGTGTAATCCGGTCGTCCGGTAGCAGAGAAGTTGTAAGCCACCGGTCGACCGGTGATGCCTCTACCGGTCAACTGCCCCGGTCAGCCGATGCCTTTAGTAGGGCCAGCCCAATAAAGTCTTAAAGGGCCGGTCCTACAAGACCATTAGTAGGGCTTGGGCCCGGGTTCGACTTTGGCCCCTCCCCTCAGGCCCGGTCCAAGCCTGACCCTCTATTGTAGAGGGCCATGCCTAGGCCTAGGTCAGAAGGGCCATGCCGCCCGGCATGGCCCTTTTGACACCTCTATGATCTCCTGAAGAAGTATTGTCGTTTGTCATCAATAGGAGAAGTTGTCGTTTTCCAGAATTGTTGTAGTTCAGAAGAGATGTTTCGGTTTATATTGTTTATTGTCGTCATAGTAGATGTTGTTGTGCTTTTTACAGTACATCATATTTTAAAAACGCGTCATCCGTTTAGTTTATACAATTTTGTCGTTTGTACGTTGTTGTTGTTGTTGAGGTTATTGTCGTTTGTAAGTGATTTTACATATTGATGTTTCTAACAAACAAAAGATGTGTTATTTTTCATTAATCTACTTGTTTGCAAAGTTATTTTCGCTATCCATGTTTGTAAGATAAATGTTTACAAATACGTTGTAGTTTATAGTACTTTATTTATATAAATGTGATTGTCGTTTGTAACAATTATCGTTGTTTTTAGGGCCTTTAGTCGTTTCTAGGTATTGTAACTCGTATTGTTCTATCCTGTGCTGTTTATTTGTTTTTGTGGTTTATAAGAAATTTTGTTGTCCTTCAAACATTTTTTTTTTTTGAAGGATGTCCTTCAAACATTTCAGTGACATCTTATCCAAACTTTTGAAATTTATGTCGTTTATGGAAAAAGATGTGGCTTACCATTAAAGGCGTAAGTTTGGACCGCCCGGACGGGACCCGGAGGCCTAAAGGAAAATTTCGGGCTGGGCCGGCCCAATCTTAAAAGAGAGATGGTCGGTCCAGCCCAGCTCTAAGCCCAAAAAATTTAGAGTTGAGCCTGGACCAACAGTAACAGGAGCCGACCTGTTTAGCCCGATCCAAACTTGCAGCTATATTTACCATTACAAATTTATTGTCGTTTATGATTTTGTTTTAAATGTACATGCCAAAAAATTGCTATTTTGCTCAAACGACAGGACAAGATTCATAATTTCCTCTTTAAAAAAAGGACAAAACAATATATTACCAAACAAGTTCCATTTCACTAACAAAATTCCTTAATCAATGATTTTTTTTAAGGACCTTAATCAAATGGAATTAGCTTTACCCTCTTTTTCCTTTCTTTTTAGAGAGTTTTCGTGGTAGGCCAGATCAAAATCACATTAGATTAAAAAAATATAAAATAAACAGTTTGTAATACAAATTTAACGGCTGAAAATAATTAACCACTTATAATTTATTTATTTTTTAGTTGTACAATAGAAACTCCTTCTTATTAGTTTCAGCCAATTAACACCTTTTTTTCCGCCAAGTAGCTAGAATAGAATCACCTTACAGTTCACAACCACGAATATTTGATGTATAAGCTCACCATTACTTTTTTAATTATTAATGAGCTAACGATTTTTGGAACCGTGTTATATTGATTTCAAAGGCATATTTTTTCAGGTAGATGTACGTGTCCCTCACCATGTCCCAGTTACGGGTGTGTTTGTCCCCCGGCAGAGGCCAACTTTTGTCGTTTAGAACCACGTGACGTGCCTTCATTGACCCATTGTCTTGTCCCCACCCTTAAAACTAAGCTAAGATACCATCAAACTTTCATCATCATTCACGTCCCAATCCCACAATCATATAATTCTTCTTCAATATGCTTTATTAATATGCACAAACAATACATAAACCGAGACACATTGATCATTTCATGATGGTAGAAGAAGTAAGGTTAGAACTTTAGAAATCTCTCCATCTCCACAAAAAGTAAACAATAAACAAATAAACAAATAAACAAATAAGAAAGCTCATCAAAACTACCACTATATTAATATGTATATTACATTATCATGCAATAGTACATACATATGCAACATTTTATTAACTAAGCCAAGAGCCAGAAATCTTTGTGACGCTTTGTGGTGATCAAGTACCCTCCGGCTCTTCTGTTCTTTCTCCTCACGGCGATCGCCATGCAATCGGCATTCTGTATGCAGTACTCGACTACATTACCGGCAGCGGCAACGCGGTGCCCCGCCCACATCATGAGGAGTCGCCACGTCGTGGACCGCGGTTTCTTCTGGCCCAGAACCAACATAGCCACGCCTTGCCTTTTCGCTTCTTCCACTATCGTAGGACCCTTCTCTTTCC